CAGACTCTACTGGAACAGGTGCTGCAAGGTTTTCTGCGATGTCGAAGGCGTCTTGACCGCAAACGCAAAGCAGGGTGGCAGCCTTCAAGCTCTCTTCCCTCACTTGGTTTGCCTTGAAGTAGTTCTCCACCCTGGCTATGTAGGACTCCCACCGCTCTGGATGTGAAACGTCGAACTCCGAAAGCCTTTCGCCATCTTCAGGAGACGGGTCTATCAGCCAGCCTACCCCCGAATGCGCACTGGATTGGCGGGCAGCTGCCTAGTCGACGCCGTTCCGCCGCTCAGGACTCACTTGGGTAAGCTTACACTTCTTCCTTTCCAGGCGGTGTAAGGCATCCCATCCTCGTCGCCAGTGTTGAGTCCTTGGCACAAAGCAGACACGAGAAGCAGTTGGAGTTCTCAGTTTTCTTTATTCTGCGTTCAGCTTACAAGTAGATGGCTTCATGGCTTCCCAAACGCTCGCAGCCTCTTATATAGGCAACTCCCGGGTAATTGTGTTACTTTTCCCGCGCCAGCACCCGCGCATGCGCATGGCGCTGGCGACAGCCTGTCTGGTCCCGGGCAGCTTTGCACCTGCCCGGGACTGCCTGCAAACGACCGAGCCGTTTGCAAGGCTCGGGACATAACATTTACCATCTCAGACAGATGGTTGTGTAGTTTCTTCTTAAAAATCTCCAGTGATGGAGCGTCCACAATTTCTGGTGGCAAGCTGTTTCACTGGTTGATTGTCCTCACTGTCAAGAAGTTTCTCCTCAATTCCAGGTTGCTTCTCTCCTTGATCAGTTTCCAGCCATTGTTCCTCATCCTTTCCTCTGGTGCTCTGGTGAACAACCTGCCCCCTCTGCCTTGTGGCAGCCCCTCAGATACTGGAACACTGCTATCATGTCTCCCCTATTTCTTTAATTTAGACTGGCCAAACCCAAGTCCCGCAACTGGTCTTCACATGTTTTAGTCTCCAGGCCTTTGATCATCTTAGTTACTCTTCTCTGAATTTTTTTCCCCAAACTTTGGTGACCAAAATTGGCTGCAGTATTCCAGGTGTGGTCTTCCTAGGGCTTTGTAAAGCAGTACTAGTACTTCGTGTGATCTTGATTCTATGCCTCTGTTTATACAACCCAGGATTGTATTGGCTTTTTTGGCTGCTGCTGCACACTGCTGGCTCATGGTCAAGTGATTGCCCACTAGGACTCCAAGGTCCCTCTCACAGTTACTGTACATATGTTGTATATAGCATGTTTGTGTGGGTGTTATGTATGTGTACACTTCTGAGAGCAAGTAACAGAATTTCATTTTTAATGTGTGCCAGTGTAACCACAGTAAAAATAAAATGACAATAAAGGTTATCTTACCTTCTTACCTTATCTTGAGTCAAGCCCAGTTGTGCCATCTACCTATGTACATACAGTAATAATCTCTATAGAAGTAGTTGTCAACCTGTGGGCCGGGACCCCATTTGGGGTCGAACGACCATTTCACAGGGGTCGCCAAACAATGCAGTTTGCCATTTTTTTCCCCTTTTTCCTTAGCTGTGCTACTCCCTTTTATTCTATTGGCTTTTGAAAGCCAATAGAATAGACTCTCTTGAATAGAGTCTAATTCTATTGGCTTTCAAAAGCCAATAGGAATTGTCCAGGCTGTCTCTGCCCTGCTGAACCCACCAAAAGTCCCATTCTGCAAACGGTGCTGCACCAGTTGAGTAGTCCTCGACTTACAACTGGTTGAGTAGTCCTCAACTTACGACCGGTTGGGGGTCGCGGCATTAAAAAGGTTGAGAACCACTGCTCTATAGGGACCAGAAATTCAATCTACCCCGATTATCCTACAATAATAAAACTGGAATGTACAATTATTCACTGTTTCCTTAACAGTGGTTGCAAAATGATGTCTATTGATAAAGAACTCAGGATCCAACAGGCTTGTTCAATCATTGTAAAAAATAGTCACAAGAGATTCTTTCCCTTTGGAATTTTTTGATGGATGGAGGAAAAGAAATGGGAGAAACACATAATTATGTAAAATCACAGTATGCCTCTATTTGACATGTTTTAAAAAAAGAAAAAAAAAGACTGAATTCAGGAAAAGATGGAATTCCATAACTTAAGAAGCCCAAATTCTAAATGCAGCCTGGTTGCACATATTTTTAATGTAGAAATTCAAAAAGCTACAAGAATCTTTCTGCTGCCACCTTCTGGTCGAAATCTTCCACGGTCTTCTCATAACTATTTCCCAAGGTTTAGCGCAGGGCTTTTCAACCTTGGCAACTTTAAGACTTGTGGACTTCAACTCCCAGAATTCCTCAGCCAGCAAAGCTGGCAGAGGAATTCTGGGAGTTGAAGTCCACAAGTCTTAAAGTTGCCAAGGTTGAGAACCCCTGGTTTAGCGTTTTTCTGTTTCACATACTTTTAACAGGGATTCATTTTGAAAAGTCATATTACGTTCTGTTTATACTTTCCTGTACATTTCCTCAGACATATGTGAGGAAGGCTTGGGCTGGTTTTGTTTCATGTCTGAGATGGAAGGATGGATATTTGCATGCAAGCCTTGCACAAATATTTTAAAAACATTCAAGGAAATACAGGCACAATCATATAGCATATGTATTAGATATAAAATCTTCTAGAATTTTCATTCCCTGTTGCTTTGGTTAATTCCCCTAAAATGATTCCCCAGGATCACCTTTGGTTAACCTCGACAATTTAAGGGCAACATTTCAAGAAAAATGTTGGGCTTCGGCTATTCAGCTTTTTATTTTTTTAAGGATAGATGTAGGACCTACATTAATGTTTTTCAAGCTTAGCCATTTTAAGATGTGTGGACTTCAACATGGCTGGTGGAGGAATTCTGGGAATTGAAGTCTACATGTCTTAAAATTGCCAAGGTTGAAAAACACTGACCGATACAGTAGGACCATTGTGTAGGCCAGGGTTAGGCAACCTTGGCTCTTTTATGACTCGTGGACTTCAACTCCCAGAATTCCTGAGCCAGCATAGGTCAGCTTGGAAACCTCTCCCTTTCCCCTCAACATGGCTGGCTCAGGAATTCTGGGAGTTGAAGTCCACAAGTCATAAAAGAGCCAAGGTTGCCTACCCCTGGTGTAGGCTGATACGTTGCTTTACAGAACATCAGCTTCCTAGGATTGAGTTTTGGAGGGTGTTTTTTTTTTAAAAAAAAAAATTATTCAACTTTCCAATGTTAACCATTAACTAACTACCTTAAATAACAATCGTGGCAAGAATTCCACAAGATCTACAATACGCAGTAGGAGGGAGGCTGATTTATTTTGCTTTCAGTACATCTCCAAAATCATTGGCTAAAGCAGGGCTTTTCAACCTTTTCACCCATTGTACCACTTGTAGGATATGGCAACGTCTGAGTACCATCAGTCGCCTAGCGAGGTGTCAAAAACCTGATGACCCAAAAAAAAGGAGGGGTGGGGAAAGTGATGAAGTACAGGTAGTCCTCGACTTACAACAGCTCACTTAGTGACCTTAGAAGTTGCAGCAGCACTGAAAAAAGTGCCCCCCCAAGCCTCAGCCTAGCAAGACAGCTGCCTGCCCGCCCAGCGGCGCTCTTCCTCCTGTCCGAGATTTTCATTGTTGTGAGCATTTCTGTTGAGGATTGGCAGTGGGGGTGGGGTGGGGGGTGTTTGGTTTTTATTTCCCCCGTCTGCTGGGTGGTTGCAGCAGGTTTTGGTCACTTCACATGACCCTGGGACACTGTGACTGTCATAAATATGAATCAGTTGCCAAGTATCTGAATGTAAATCACAAGACCCTGGAGATGCTGCAACATTCCAGCTGATCGGTGCTTCTTCTGGGCTCAGCAGAAGCGCCAGGATCAGCGCCGAGTTCCAGCTGGAGCCTGGTGCTGATCCTGGTGCTTCCACTGAGCCCTGACAGCCCTGCAGCTCCAGCCATCACTCGCTCAGGCTTGTGCGGTGCTGCCATCGGTTCAGCTCATTCCCCTCCCCCACTACCACTTTTCTAGGATGGTCGCGTACCACCTGCCAGGTGCCAATGTACCACAGGTGGTACCCATACCACTGGTTGAAAAGCCCTGGGCTAAAATATCACTTATTTTACAGCCGTGGATAGAAAGACATTACAGAGGGTGATGAGCACAGCACAAAACATTGTAGGCTGTCCCCTGACACCACTAGACAACATCGCTAGGGCCCGCTGCCTTAGAAGAACGAGGAAAATCCTCAGGGACGACTCACACCCTGGTCAGCACTTCTTTACTCTCCTACCATCGGGCAGGAGATATAGAAGCATAGCCAGCCACAGCAACAGGCTGAAGAACAGTTTCTACCCAAGGGCTGTCAGACTCCTGAGTGGGAAATAACTCCATATATGATAGACTTGCGGGGCCAGCACATTGTGCAATAAGTTCACGTAGTGTAATAAGATTGTGTGTTGTTGTCACTGTGAATTGTGTCAGGGGGGTGCACGAAGGGAGGCTTAGTCAATCTCATTGTACACATATTATGACAATAAAGGTTGATTTGATTTGATTTGAGAACCGGTTTTCATAGCTAAAGCAATATACAGTACTATGCATTTTCATAAGCCTGATCTCGACTCATATATTTTCTCCTACCTTTTGTAGAGACGGCAGTGCCATAAATCCCAGTTCTAATTCACCCACTGCAGTAAGCAGTGATGTGCTTAATTATGGGTTTATTGAATACATTTTAATTATCTGGGGTTATTCAACATGGATTGCTAACTACGATGGCTGAATTCCCCCCATTATGAGGAACCAAAGCCCAATAAACCAGATTATAGTTTAATATGATGTGTTCACGCAGAGAACTATTTTTTTGTCTCTTATAAAACCTCCTCCCTTTTTCTGAATCTTTCTACCTTGTCATGTAATTTGACAGCTTCCAGATCCCATGATAATAGCTCTGCTGTCATAGCTTCTTTCAGAACAAGGATATGTAAATATAACCGACACCCACACCAGGCCAAAAACAGCACAGAGTCAATGTCAGGAAATTTAGAAGCAACAGACAATGCCAAAAATTTATTGAGAGAACAGAACTTGAGATTTCTTGGCAGAGAATTTGCACAGACCAATTTTGCTAAGCAACCAAGAACAATAGCCATAATTCACATTGCCCTGATCTCCGGCAGGCAAAGAAAGGAACAACGAATTGTGGTTGTGCCAAGGAACTAGTTTAATGTAACAGAAAGATAATTTAGGGAGAGGACAATAGAAATGAACTTATGTTGCAAGATCATAATAAGCACAAATGGAAAGCTCACATGGGAGGAAGATGGTTTTGGGAGAACATCAAACATTTCTTTGCCATAAGAAAGGATACCCCTGGTGGAGCCAAAGCATTCCCAGTAGTCTTTTGAGGCTTCCGGCAAAGAGGTTTCAAGGCAGTGACACAACATATGTTCTGTAAAAGATCAGGAATCAGGATCAGAGTTAATTATGCATGAGAATCGGACATATTTCTCAAGCACAATGCTATTCCTCCATTCCATTTTTCGTGCAATCAAGTGCACCAAAATAAGGGGATAGAATGGGCAACCCAGTAATAGGCTTACCTTGCCTGCTTTTTCCCTCGGCATCGTGGAAATTTCCCATGTTTATCACCTGCAAGAGAAAAGGAAGGAAACAAAGTATTTGAGGAATGCTCTTTCCTAGAATTCAGAACAGAATGGGAAGAGATGGCACGTCATCTGCCTCTAACACTAATGTTTGTGTAGACTAAAGTGCTAGGATTGTGGTTGAGCATATCTGGTAAGCTAGATAGAACCTCCACCATCACCATCACTTTGCCCTAGAGTTGAAGTCCACGAGTCATAAAAGAGCTACCCTTGCCCTAGAGCAGTGGTTCTCAACCTGTGGGTCGGGATCCTATTTGGGGTCGAACGACCATTTCACGGGGGTCGCCAAACAACGCAGTCCACCATTTTCCCCCCTTTTCCTTAGCTGGGCTACTCCCTTTTATTCTATTGGCTTTCAAAAGCCAATAGGAATTGTCCAGGCTGTCTCTGCCCTGCTGAGCCCGCCAAAAGTCCCATTCTGCAAACGGTGCTGCACCAGTTGAGTAGTCCTCGACTTACGACCGGTTGAGTAGTCCTCGGCTTACGACCGGTTGGGGGGGGTCGCGGCATTAAAAAGGTTGAGAACCACTGCCCTAAAGTTTGCCCTATGGTCAAAATAGCAGCCTACATAGCATCTTTAAAGCCAACCAAGGCATTGGATCGCCAAGTCATGGTACAAAAGACTGTGTCCTAACTATGTGCTTCCCAAGGCCTTTCCTGAACATTAAATAAAATTAAATAACATTTAACTCTTTTGATTTCAAATCCACTACCCAGATTTTCTTTGGATGGATAGGCAGCCATAGAAATTGATAGCAAAGTTAAGTGTTAAACGTTGCCATTTTTCTGAAGTACCTCTGATTTGAAACGGCGATATTAATGGTGTGATGTTATTCTCTAGCATTTTCAGTTAGGCAGATAACATTGCTGAGAAAGCCAACACAAGGCCAATGTAATGAACTGATTAATGTTAACCATAATTGTTAAAACTAAACTAGGGTTATATGGTTCTGTTCTTTTATTTCATCCTTCTCTTTCCATCTTTAGTTAATAAGATAAATTTCATTCATTCATTCATTCCAGTCTCTCAGGCTTACAGGTAAGAATGAGAATGCCCAAGATGAAAAGGATGGCAGCAGCTACCAAACCCCACTTGCGCAAGGAGTCATAATCTGAAAGACAAATGGAGAAAGGTCAATAAATTTGGGACATCTGGAACTGAAAAGAGAGCATCCATTGATGTTTAATGGAAGGCACTGCGTTCATACCTGCATTCATACCTGTCTAACTTGCTTCCCAGATCATTCATTTTTTTTCTGGCTTTAGTATTTTGAATCATGAACAAACCAAATAAGCTGGGTTTGCACAATGTGTAAAGCCACCAAAATACCCTCAAATTAAAAAAAAACACCAAACATTGACCATGCTTAAAGCGTTGTGTGAATGTAACCACTAAGTTTCCAGCATATCAGGTTTTAACAAGTGGTATAAATATAACCATTGGGTACATGGGCATCAGAGCACCTGTGAGCCTTCCAATGTGGTCAAACGAGTGCCAGAATCTCTCTCCATTGGTCATCAATATCTGGAGGACCTCAGGTTCCTCATCCCAATACGTGTGTGTGTGTGTGTGTGTGTGTGTGTGTGTATACATACATATATGCATCAGTAATGTGTTAAAAGGTGGCATAGTATATAGAATGCCTAGGAAATCTATAGAATGTGTAACATTTCTAGGCAAAGAATGAAATGTGTTATTTTAATATGCTATATACTTTCCCTAGGCATTGTATATAGTACCTAGGCATTAGGCAGAATGACAAAAACTATTTAAGCAACTTATGAAAAGAGTTATGAAAAGAATTAGTTAGGATTAACCCTAATCCTAACCCTAGCCCTAATCCTTCATTGAAAAAAACATATATGAAAATAAAAGAAGAAATACAAAATAAATCACAGGACTTCCTTACTGAAAGAAACAACAGAAAAAGACCAGTATTGACCTACTTGTTGCAACAAGGAAGGCAAGAGTGGCATTTTAGTGAGGGCATTTTATACTTTGCCGGTTTGCCTTTTGGTGTTGCAAAGAATGCCTAGGAAATGTGTGAAATATTAAGCATTTCATATTTTGACATCCACTTTTTGGCATTCTATAGATTTCGTAGGCATTCTGTAAAATGCTTAATTTCACACGTTGATAGTAACATATACATTTTATTTTAATATTTTTTCCCTCAAGCCATTTTTTTTTTGCAGGAATTTGGAAATCTCCCTTAAAGAATTGGACCTGGTCCAGTTTGAAACTCACCATAAAAGAAGAAATCATTATATTCTTTCATCTCAGCATCTATGGAAAGAGGTGGAAACATATTGATGGGGAAATGTCAGAACTGAAAAACATACTTATATTTACTTCAGCATTTACTTAAGACTGTAGATTTTATTGTTCAATAGATGTTAATATGTTACCTCAGATCTTCATTAATGTTGATAAGAATCTGTCATCTTGGAAACGTTTGCCCAGCATAGCCAACAGTTCAGAAATCTTTAAATCTTTCATAAATAAATTAAAGAAATACCTCTTCTCTTTTCTTGGTCAACAGATGGTAGTTGAGGTGTGGAATCTTCTGGAAAAGATAATGCCAGAGGAAAATTTTACTGTGCCAAGAACATCATCCTTGAACGTTATGTTCCCCTGTGAAAGAGACTTCTGGGATTTTTTGGGTCTGATTTTCAAGGTGTTTCAGAATTTATTTCAAAATTCTTTGTGCTCTTTGGACTCACCTGGAGTGTTCTTGGATTGCACAATGCTTGTGCCGAGAGCCACTGTCACTTCAGCTGGTGTTGTCACTTCAGCTGGTATCACTTCTATAACAGCTCAAGAAAAGAATGCCCTTAGGAAAAAATTGTTATTTTGTGGATTTTCCCTATCCACTATACAGGTTCTTCAACTAAGCATTAAGCAGAGAAAGGGAATCCTTAACCATAATTCCAATATTCAAATATGTTTTTATGTCAGCTCACAAACTGTGACTTAAATCTCATGCTGGGTTTGGACATCAATCAAAACTGTCCTCTTTGATTGGTTTAATTGGATGACAGCTGCCAATAGGAACAAGTGAACTACGTGGACTAAACATATAACAATGTACACAATATCACATACCATTTGTTGATACATTCTCTTGCAGAAAAGTTAGATTTTCTGCATTATGACTTTCATTCGCTAACACCCCTGTCATAGAAAAACAAAGCATAGAAAGGAAAAATGTATTAAATAGATGAATTTCTCTCTCACCCTAAGGTTACATTTCAACTGAGGGTTAAATGTCCACCTCCACCCAGTTGCCCTGACTCTACCTCAAATTAAGGGATTACAAGTTCATAAAAAGGGAGGTTTTTTTAATGAATACAAATGATCCAGTGATCATTTCAAACAATGAATAATAACTATATAGCTCTGGGTTGAAATGTTTGGTTCATGGTGTTCTCCAAGACTTTTTTTTCCCCCTGCAGACATTTTATTACCAGGCTAGATAACATCAGCCCTGTGATGGGAAAATGGAGTTTGCTGACTCTTTAACCCCACAATATTCTTCAAAGAATTGGTTTGCCATTGCTTGCTGAGAGGGAGGGACTGGCTCATGTCACCCAGCTGGCTTCATGCCTAAAGCAGGCCTAGAACTCCCAGTCTCCCAGTTTCTATAGTCTGCTGCCTTAACCACTATACCAAACAGGCTCTCTGTATGATGATGTTACCTAGCCTGGTAATGAGGAAAGAGACAAACTCAGAGAACACCAAGTGTTTCATTAAATCATGAAAGTATTTGCATTAAATCATAAAGTAAAATATGTCCTCTCCATACATGAGAACTTAGCAGTTCACTCATCCCCCTATCACTATGTCTAGATCCATTTACCAACTCAGATGCTTTGGAGACTTTAATAATTGTGTCACAAACCTATCTGGGAAGCAGAAATATGGGGAGAAGAATGCTAAGGGAAAAAAAAGAACGAATCACTTTACAGCAGATTCATTTCTTTTTAAAATTAATTCTCCAATCTCAAGAATCTTAACCCCCTGGCTTTCAAAAAGTGTTATGCATTGGACTCAATGACAGCTCCAAATTGCGCTCAAATGTTCCATTATATGGCATAAACTATATGCTCAGCAAGATTTTAAAGGAATGAAACAGCATCTTAAGGAAATTAGCCCTTTTGTCCGATCAATTAGTTCTCTTCTAAAAATACATCTTCAGGGAAGCAAAACAATCTAGGAATAGGAAATGTATACTTAATTAGACACAAATGCTAGCTTAGCTGAGTAAGATTGGCTATTGCCAGCTATTTTGGTAAGAGACTTACCCACGGTACTCAGCAAAAATTCTGTTGTGGTTTGAATTCCTTCAGCATCTTCTTCCTTCTGAACTGTCAAAGTTGGACTACCTGAAACTGAATCAAGATGGAGACAGCTTAATATCCTTTTTCTGTCTGACTCTCCAACTGTTTTGGGGTATATCTTCATCTTTTCTCCAAATTGTTCAGAACAGTGCTTACTTCCCTTTTTATTCTTATCACATCCTTGAGCAATGTTTCTCAACCTTGGCAATTTTAAGACATATGGATTCCAACTCCAGGTGTGTGGACTTCAACTCCTAGAAATTCTGGGAGTTGAAGTCCACATGTCTTAAAGTTGACAAGGTTGAGAAACATTGTCCTTGAGTAACAGATTGAGTTGAGATAAAAAGAAAAGAGAGGGAAATCAAACTCTCCAGAGGTCACCAAAGTTGAACAGGGAAACAAATTGAATTCACTTCAATCTGATGACCTAAAGGCAGTTACTTCCAAGATTGTTCCTTCCTCAGATGTCATCACTAATTTCTGTCATAGTGATTTACAGCATGTAGATTGCATTGCATCATCCAGCTATCAGTGAAGTGACATAAAACCTGTCTACATTACTGTTAGTTTGGCAAAACAATAGTTGAAGTACTCCAGAAGATGCCATAAATTTCTAGAGTGGTGATGACCTGGGTGGCGCCTAACATGGTTTGCTAGGAGAAAGTTTCTAAAGTGATCCTGCCAATTACCAATACCTTCCATCAATTTATAGCAAAACAGGATATAAATAAAACTAGATATATAAAATGCAACCATAAAAAACATAGCTTAAACTCAACACCACCTTGAATGAAAGAACAAATGGAAACCACCAATGAACAGAGCTGTCATTGGAAAAGTAAGATCTTGCAGCCAGGCACGGGAGATTTTAATACTGAAAGTGATAAGGAGGGTGCTCCAGCCTGAATAGGAGACATGGGTTAGAAAAAGATTTCTCATGGGTTGAAGATAGCCCAAGGTCCCATAGGCTCCTCACCAATACTCTAGTCCAGGGCTGTCCAATCTTAGCAACTTTAGGACCTGTGGACTTCAGCTCCCAGAATTACTCAGGAAGCAGATTCACTTAACTGTGGCAAGAAAGGTTGTAAAATGGGACAAACTCACTTAACAACTACCTTGGTTAGTAAACAGAAATTTTGAACTCAATTTTGGTCATAAGTCAAGGACTACCTGTACAATTATTTGATGCCAGGATGGTCATCCTTCCTTCATAACATGTCCCATACTCCCTTCTTCTTCTTCTCATCCTTTGTAGTAAGCTTATGATCCCAAGTTGGGTACATTTCCTCATCTTTCTTTCTGCCAGCAGTTTGCAAATATTTAAAAATAATTTTTAAAAAGACAATCTGGCTCTCAGCTTTGCAATGCATGCAAGAAAAGATGTGAAATTGTCACTATGGGTTTTTTTAAAAAAAATAAATATGGAAAATGCCAGCATATGTTTTGGCTTGTTTAAAGAGAATTAATTTTCATCTCAAGAATAAAATTAATCACAATATTTTTTTAGCTCAATCCTCCAGATATCTTCCTTCCCACCTCTTCTGGGTATTAAAGCAAAAAGGGAAAACAGGAGGTGATAAAAGGGGATCCCCTGCATTGTTTTTTTTTTTTGTTCCTCTCCCCATCTTAATTTATCTGAATGCATCTTTATAAATTACATACACCATCAAAAATTGTCCCACGCTAGCTGCAAATTATATTGACTAGGACCAAGGATAAATCAGTGGGTAACTTCCAGATAAATAAGTATTTCTCTGTGAATTTAAGAAAAGCACAACAACAAAAAAGCCCAGTACTACAATTAAGTAAAAAGGATCTTTTAGAATCTCTGATCTGTATAAGAACTGCATGGATATGGACTGAATTGCTGTCATAATGCCAGTAAGCAAACACACCAACTAAGAGATGCAAAATTAAACTACGGGATCTTTTTCTTACATTGTGGAGGGTGGGAGAGCTATACTCTGCTTGACAGTTGGTCATTCCTGCTGGGATGCAGATAAAATGGCTTTAGGAAGTATAAATAACTGACCTTTGGATCACCCAGGTAATCTCAGGCTCTAAGCTGTAAGGCTTTGCTAGGTTTTCCTGTAACTCTTGAAAGATTCCCATGCATCAGATAGCATGAAAGGTCGACAGTCATAGGAAATGTTATTTACTAAATTATTATGCTGTTCATTTCACTGTAGAGTGAAATAAATGAACAAAACTCATTTCTGGTCACTACTGTGGAGATGAGGGGACACACATATCTAGACAGATGTCAAAAAATAGCTAGCTTCTTACCTTGTGAGACTACAGGAACTGTGAGATTTGCAAGGGCAAGTAGGGCAAAAAAAATGAGCTGGGGAAAAAAGCAGAATTATGAATCAACTGTGATGTATTTTCTAACTCTGTCCCATGATTCCACCCCTGAATCACCACATAATCAACCCAGATTTATCAATAAAACCAATATGGGGCAAGTTACAGTTATAAATCAAGTGCAGATCCCACCTATGTCACAGAGTAGGCAACTGCCTTAGTACAGGATTCTCTAGACATAATTTATGGGAGTCATACATTTTAGTTTGTCCATATTCAGAATAGCAGATGCTAAGATAAAGAATGTTAATGGCTTTAGAGTGGTGGGAATACACTGTCTTGTTCCTCATCTGCAGATATTTCTGTGTTTAAAGAAAGATCTTTTTTCAATATTATGAAAACTTCCCAGATTTTCAGAATGGGCCCATATTCCATTAATTTACCAGTTGTTTTTAAAATTAGCTTGGATTAAACAATATGCGATCAACCTATTTTCTCTATGCACATTTACTAATTCCAATATGCGAAAATAAGTGAAATCAAAAATTGGATCGTATATTTATCATTTCTGTAATGAACCAGCAAAATCTAATTCTTCTCATCTATTTAAACAACAGTCTTTTTTTAAAAATGGAATCAAATTCATCCTTTAAGCCAACAAATGAGTGGCATTTCTTTCTAATTGTTTCTGAATGCTTACCAACGTGGCACCCATGAATGAAAAAAACCGAAATGTTTTCTTAACAAAAACACCTCAATCTAGAAGTCCATCCAAACCCTTACATTGATAGACTCACATGGAGAGAAAATATTTTCCCATCAGAATATAGATAATTCAAATATTCCCTCCCTTTTTTAGCACTGTGTTGCAGTGCGCTAAACACAAACAAAACTTCCTAATGCCTAATCACATAAATCTGACATTTAGAAAGCAAATAATAGAACAGGGTTGGGAGAACAACATTTGTACACTCACACTCACACACTCACAAAATTCCTACCCTACATGTTGCATGATTCTATCTTAAGTGACCGCTTCACAACCTAACAGGCATTTCTGGTTTGTTCAAAAGCTCTGACGAAGCTCACAGTCCCATGTCGATCCAAGTCTCCTGAGCTGGAAAAATACTGACATTTCCAGTCAGTGGAACAGTTCCTCCTTTCACTGAGACGGCTGAGGATATTGCAGTTTGCTGGAGGAAAAACTCCCCAAAACGTCTGTGCCATAGTACTGCCGTCTGCAAAGGCCATTTGGCGTTGTCAGCCAGCCAAAGTCCTCATCACAAAAGACCGTTGGGGTTGACAGAAACCTAGTGTGGCCTCTCACTTCTGCATCATAAGGCTGGGTGGATTTGCTAAACCCTCTCCTACGGGATTCCTGCCAATCTACTGTAGCCTACACATCCCTGAAATTTAACTATCCCCTTCCTGACTGTTAGCTTTGTAACCGAGAAGGCAAAATGACTTTTCTCTGTTCTTATTTGTTTTCTCAATAGTATATACACAAACACGCACACACATACACAGCAGCAGTTCTGAAGTTCTAAACTGCTCTAACTCTGAAGCCTAAAGTTTTGGAATCTACTGTTACAGCTAAACTGTTACACTCTCTCTCCCCATCATTAACTATAACACAAAGTTCTCATTTCTTGTATGAAAAAAAACTTCCTGCGAGCAAACCGAAAGAGTGAAAAAGGCATTTCAAGGGCCAACAAAAGTGGGGAGAAATGCATCTCACTGTGCTTTTCTATCTGTCTTCTGGCTTACAACTCTGCTTTTCTGCTTACCACTGACCTTCCATCTCTTCCCAAGATTTTCTGGACAGGACATGTGGTTTTCATTTACTGCCACTACCTCCCTCCCCCCCCCGCCACCTCTTTTATCCAGAGTCAGGTTCTTCAACCCAAAGAGTTAACTTCCAGCAAAGAATTTCCCAGCTAGCACATTGTTCCAGAGGCAGGAAACCGATGGACGGGGGCTGTCAGTTATCGTTAGAAAGAAAACTGGGAATAGGGGTCGCTCACCTTCATGGCGGCTGCTTCACAGCCTTTGGAGTGTGGCATGTTGAGCATCTGGAAGGAAAGGAAAGGCCGCACCAATCATTTCCTCTTCTTGCCACTTCCTGGACCCGGAGAGTGGGTGTGTGAGTCACAAGGCACGTGCTCCGACATTTCTAAGTGTGTGGGGTATGTATATACAAAGACCAGCAGCATACATGTGCAGTATGTGCCTTTCAGAAGGCACCAGTGCCTTGGCCGGAAAGACAAGCCTTCTCTGTTCAAGACAATTCACGCTAATCCAATCTCAGGCTGCTCATCAGAGGAGAACAAAGGCAATCTGGTTTTTCTTCACTGTTTCTCTGCAGGGCTGAGCGAGTGGCAGAAAAGTGGCCTGGTTCTTCCGCAACATTGATGGGTTCAAATGGGCACTGTGATGCAGTGCAAGAACACTGAAAAAACTCTTTTCAAGGAGCAGGTTGGTGAGGCAAACTAAACCAGAACTAAACTGATGATCAGAACCACCAAGTGGTACGTACGTACTTAACAAATTTATATAGCCTTCCCGACTCACATGCAGTGACCAGGCAATGTGTAACATTAAAAATCCAGAGTTAAAAATCTACACCCCCGTGGCAGTAGCAACAAAACCAGACAAGTCACTTGATCAGGTCTGAATGGGGCCCAAAGCACACAGGGAAAGCTGTCTTCAAGACCTTGTTATAACACCCATTCTTGACTTTTTGCAAAATGGGTATGGAAAGCTTTGTTGGATAGAAGACAGAAAGTGTAATTCAGGAAGTGTTTCAAGGCAGGTGGGTCCAGACTTTTTTTTTTAAATATATTTTTATTAATTTTTTATAATCACAAGTGCTTAAAATATTATCAGCAACATATTGTCTGGGCTTCAATGTCTAGTTTTCTAATACATATTCAGTTTCTTTCTCTCTACCTCGTTTTTCTAGCCAATTATAAAAAGTATCCCATGTTCTAAAATAAACTGAGTCTTCTTTCTCTTTCATTTTCAATGTCAATCTATCCATTTCTGCACACTCTTAATATTTTTTTAAATTAACACTTCCTCCGCTGGTAAGTCTTCATTTTTCCAGTATTGAGCGAATACAATTCTTGCTGCAGTTAGTATATGTAAAATTAAATATATACACTCTCACAATTACCTACGATTATGCCTAACAAAAATAATTCTGGCTTAAACTCTATATGGTTTTTTTTTTTGTCATTTTCTCTAGTCATGTATGTATTCAAGGCAGGTGGGTCCAGACTTAAAGGAGAGCTTTAAGACATTTTAATCAAGGGCATCCAAATTCTGACCTCAGGGCCACACAAGGGAAATAATTTTCGGAACTATATTTCATTAATATAAATTTAATGGAGTTTAGTTTTGTCCTAGAAATCGCCTATGCCCTTGTCCTGGCTGGTGTGGCCTTCAAACTGAAACAAGTGGTACATTTATGTTGCATATCCTATTTGCAAACGTTTTGTGAAAACCAGATCAGGCTGGCCCGACCATTAGGCAAAGTGAAAGAGCTGTCTCAGGTAGGAGATTTTAGACGAAGGGGGGAAAGCAGATCCCAATTTGCTTTTCGGTATTTGATACTGTTTTTTCCTGCTGTGGATGTGGAAAGATAGTTGCTCGATTCTTTTCTTTGTTCCTTTGTTCCTTTCTTCCATCCCCAAACTATTGGGCACCGTTCACTTTGATTCTGGCTGACCTCAGAAATGGAGTTTTGTGTCACATGTTCCGACTAATGAAGCACTTCAAAGAACTTTCAGGCATGTTTCCTAAAGTCTTTATTTGCAGAGCTACAAATTATGCCGGTCACCATTGGACTAATTGATGCCAGAATCTGAACTTCCGGTCGCTGGCATCAAGCTTTCCTTGCTCAACCCCTCCCTTCTCATGCAGTCACAGGTCACATTATCCAATTAGTGAGAAGGTCAAACGTTTACTTCCTCTTTCTTTCCCGGGCTTTTTCCCCGCTCAGTCTAAGCTAAGTATTAACCCAATAAATGCCAGACAGTTTTGCATATTGTCAAAGCAAGAATATACAGTATTTGCAGCATTGACATTTTGCTATAGGAAACCAATATTGATTGTGGTTTTTTCCCTACCAGCTCAAAAAAAGGCCCCAAATTTCATTTGTTTTCTTCCTAAGAAATTGCTTTTGTGAATGAAATATCTGAGTTAGATAATATAGTTCTGTTTGTCCGTTCTGCTAAGCTATGATAGGGCTCAGCACCACAAATCACCCATTTGAGGCTAGAATTATATGTGATCCAGATGACTATGGTTCATTTAAAAGTGATGGTGCATGGTGATTCCCCTGACCAAGTATTGACTGTATCAAGGGCGCACAATTTAAGTGAGTTCCATCACACAGAATTAGAAGACTATGCACTGAAAGTGGGTAAGATCAAGAGTTAAAGAAAGCAGGATCACTGAGCAATTTTTTTTAAAAAATAACATGAAAAAATGAGAGGGTATTTATTCCCTGCAGACCTACAGTCTGCATTTTAAATGTCATAACTTTGGGCACCAATATAGTATTCTTTTGAGAATCTTTTGAAACCATCTCATGGTTAATGGCCACTGCAATGTGGCAGCACCTGTCATTTCTTGTGTTATGGATGGCAATGTTTTTGAATCTGTCTCAAATCTGCTGCGGGTATCAGATATCCAATAGGGCATACCTATCAGCAAATAATCAAAAATGTTTCTACAGCAGCAAGTCTAGAATGAATCCACAATTGGATGATATTTTTACTAGGATAGCCCTGCATGTCACAAGAGCTTCCAAACTCTTAATCCAATTGTTTTGTACAAAAAAACAGGAGTGGAAAATAAGATTGTTTTAAATACATAATTTTAAAACAAAACAACATGCACAAAAAATTCCTCCAATCCCTCCAACTTCCCGATGTATATCTCTGAATAGCAAAACATGTCTATTTATAGCCATCAGGGCAATTGTACAATATCCATTGGCTCAGTGATGGGATTCAGCTGGCTCGCACCAGTTCGGTAGAACCAATAGCTAAATTTTATTGAGTTCGGAGAACCGGCTGAATGCACACCACTTCCGGAAGTCCATTCTAGGCCTCGGAGGCCTGGAGACCTCCCAGGCATAGAACAACCTGCTGGAAGTATGTGGATGCCACTTCCAGAAGTCTGTTCGAGGCCTCAGAGGCCCAGGCCTGCATCCACGCAGAGAACCAGTTGTTCAAGGATTTGAATCCCACCAATGCATTGGCTGCACAGTAAAGTATTAAGAGGCTAAATGTTTCCTTCCATAGAATGGAAGTTTTAATAGGAGCTGTCATCCATTTCCCCGCACAAGACACTTCACTCATCTTGTTGTGCCACTGCGCCCTCTGCTGCTCTTTCAACCAGCAAGTAAATGTCGGAATGGGACAATTGATCGTGGTCACGTTTTCGCATCCATTTCAGTAAGTAAGTAAGTAAGTAAGTAGTAAGTCTCCCTAGATGAATTGGCTATGATCACAGGGCCAATGAGCTTTCTGGTTCTAAGAACCGTCTCCATGGCCAAATTATGCCAGGCAAAATACCTAACAAAATCTATTGTCCATCAACAGCTCACCTAATGTTAAAATGGGCCATTGAGCTACTTTCTAGTTCTAAGAACCGTTGCCATGCCCAAAGCTACGCCAGGCAAGAAAATCTATAAAATCTAGTATGTCAACAGCCACACCTAGCATTAAAATGAGCCATTGAACTCCTCTTTCGGATTCTAAGAGCCATCGCCATGGCCAAGGTTACGCCAGACAAGCAAACTATAAAATCTAATATCACCCAACAGCCACACCTAGCATTAAAATGGGATGTTGAGCTCTACTTTCCGGTTCTAAGAACCAATGCCATGGCCAAAGTAATGCTAGGCAAGCAAACTATAAAATCTAGTATAAGTCAATAGCCACAGCTAGCATTAAATTGGGCCATTAAGCTCTAGTTTCTGGTTCTAAGAACCATCGTCATAACCAAGATTACGCCAGGCAAGCAAACTATAAAATCTAGTATAAGTCAACAGCCACACCTAGCATTAAATTGGGCAGTTGAGCTCTTCTTTCTGGTTCTAAGAACCATCACCATGACCAAAGTTATGCCAGGGAAGCAAACTATAAAATGCATCCCCAGGTTTACTTTTGGTGCTAAGAAGTCTGACTGGTACTGTACTGGCACTGATGGTGGGAGGGAGGTCATCCAAAAGGACTCCCTTCCAGTCGGAGTACTGAGGGTACTCAGGTACTGGAGGAGGCTTGTAGCTAAGTGCTCTTGACTCCTCCAGGGTGATTCGCCCTCACTGGTCTCTCA